CCTCTTGGTTGGGGGGTCTGTAGTAGACCCCCACCGTCAGATGGGGAAGCAAGTAGCATCGTCTTTCCTGCCTCATGGTGGGAAGTTGAGGAGGCTCTATATTTCCTTGCCACTCCCCTTCTCCTTCACCTAGATCCTACAGGCTCTGTACCATGGAAAGTGTGCTGGTGGGGAGGGGGGATATTATGCTGACTGCTAGAGAGGCAGCAGTGTTGATTGTTACCTGTCACAGTGTAGACTCCCTGCACTTCAGGTGCTGCTATTCTGGCACTGGTACAGGCATGGGCTCTGGCTACTACAGCTAAGGAATGGGCAGTACTGTATTGGGGAGGTTAGTGGGGTGTGAACCCCATGTGCTGATTTGGAAGGGGTCCCAGACCATCTGACCATAGGGAGACCACACCATGGGAACTGCTACAACCACTCCCCAGCTGCAGCAGCCAGAGCTCATGCCCCTATCATATACTGCCATTGTCCAGCTGTTAATATAATATCCCCCTGATCTTCACCCCACTCTGCCCAGGGTGGGCTATGCCTCTACCTGTCCCTGATCCCCCATCACCATCACCACAGGTCTGGTCAGCACAGAGTTGGAGAGAGCCCAAGGGAGCCATAAGAGCTTCCTCACAACCCCTCTCCCTTTGATGAGGACCCAGGTCCTTCCTCCCTACACCAGTGGCAACAATTGAAGAGGAGGTGTGATTGCATCAAAGCAGCCTCTTTGGATCCCCCCCACCCCACCACCACCACCACCTCCATGGGCATACTTGTTCCCTCAGTTCTCTTATTGCTGAGTTTTAATTACACTTCAGGTTCTACCAGAGGGGTGGTGTGTTTATTGACTTTTGTTACACAACCTCCGAGACATTTGGCAGGAAAATGTTAAAACAAAGTACCAGAACACATAAGAGAAATGCACTTAAAGCTGAAAGGAATCTTGATGCAATATATAAGCTTTTCATGTAAACTTTTTTTGTTCTAAACTATTAAATCGTGTATGGTTTAAGAATTGGTGGTTTGAGAGAATCCAGGGAATTCTACTGATCCAGTTTCACTATATTCCAATTTACAATTTCACTACACCTGAAATGACTTTATACTTGTTTTATAAAATAATGACAGCATTACATTTTAAACATAATTAAACAATGCCCTCTTTTTTAGGTGGTGCTGTGATGCTCTTGGTTTATGAGTATGCTTATGCATGGCTTCAAGAAAACTGGTAATTGGAAGTAGTATGTCTAAAATCATGTACTCGTTGACATAATGGACATGCTGAAAATATGTTATGGTCACGTTAGGGGTAAAGGATCTAAATAATTAAAGCAAAATATAATTGAGACTTTCATGCTACAAGGTGCTCAGTTCCCTCTGGAGAGGATTCATCACTGCAGAACTGGACCTTCAGGCGCTGATCCAACAATGCATTTAAGCACATGCTCAGTTTTGAAGGCATGAGTAATACAGCTGTTATGCTTAAGTGCTTTGCTGAATCATGGCCTCGCTGTTCAGGAAATAGATCAGGGAAACATAGAAATAAGTTAGTATCTCAAGAATAAACTAAATGTTATGGGCACTTGATTGTGTCATATAGTAAATGCACTGATTTTTTAAACTTGTGATCACTTCAATTGACTTTCAGAGGAATGCAGCGGGGAAAATGTATTAATCACATGGAGTCAAAGCCTAAACTGGTATAAATTGGTATAGCTCCATGATTTATAATTGAGGACCTGGCTTAGCTAACAAAAAACCTGGATCCAATCAATTTTAATGCCAGCTGAACATGTTGTGAAGTGTCTGCAAGTGATATGCAAAAGAGAACATCAGGATCATCCTTCTGCTTCAAATAATATCCTACTGTCAAACTCCTACATATTTTAAGTTATACATATAACATAATCCAGGTCAAAGAAAAATTCTGAATATAATTTAATTGAGCTGAATTTCCATCCTTGCATAAAAGTTCAGAACAATCACTGAAGGAAAAACTCAATAAGCAAGAAGTTTAATTCATTTGGGCCATAAAGAGCCTGACTGTGAAACACTTACCCAGTTAGTGAGGAGTTAATCACATAGATAAATCCACTGAACTCTGCCTCAGAAGGAATACAGGTTTCCCTTGGTTTATGCTGTACATGTGTTCTTGGAAGAAGGCGCATAACTCAAATTTGCATAAAGGGAACCCACTTTACAATGTAACAAAAAGGGATATGTTCCAAGACCTCGACTGTACTGACCCCCAGACCCATTTCTACCACTTTTGCAAGACAGTTTTGGTACTTACCAACAGCAGACAGTGCACACAAGCACAGGGCACTATCATAATGGGGATGCCAACTACAGAAACACGTGTCTCATATAACAAGCAAGGACCACAGATCCACAAAGGAGACTATATTTTGGTGTGTGTCATTCCCACAATGCACTGCACAAAGCAGCTGACTGTTGGCTTCCACCACACTGGTTGCATAAGAGTGAATTTACCTTGCATATAACAAATTTTTGGTATAAAAAGGGTCATCGCATAAGAACAAGTTCGCACATACAGAATCTGCATAAAGCAAGGAAACCCTGTATTTGAAATCTGTGAGGTTTTCACAGTTTTTGCACCTGTATTTGAAAACTGCCATGTTGGTCTGAGGACATAAGAAGACAAGAATCTTTGGGTAAGAGCATTTCCAGAGGTGAAGCCCTGTCCTGTCAAAGTAAATGATGGAATTTCATGGATTTTAACAGGACCAAGGTCTCACCTCAACATTTTTCCTCCCCCCACCCCTAATCTTTTTTTTTAACCTTCACTTATAAAAAAAATAAAATTAAAAAAATTGGAACAAGAAGGGGAAAAAGGAATATTTTATACCAGTGTTTCACAGCTTTTTTTAGGTTGGCAATCCTTTATTCAAAGCCAAAAAATTAATGTCTTCCTATTACATTTACTAGAAATCTAAGTGTAAAAAATGTGTTAAGCATAACAATAATCACCCTGCATAATGTGTGTGTTTCAAGTTCTCAGAGGATCCTTGCCATTGAAAGGGAAGGGTATGCTGAGAGTGGGAGAAAGATGTTTTTCCCCTACATAATATAATAAAACTTTCAAACCTCATGACCACCCTGATTGGCTTTTGTGACCACCCTGGGTGGAAGAACACTGTTCTATACTGATGTCATATGTGCAGACTTAATTAGATAACTGTAAGCCTTTCTAAAACGTTTATTTCTATAAATACTGAACACTGTTACATTTGTTTGTTTTCCCAGATATTCTTTATAAACATAGACCATATTTCATATATATTTTCCTACTTGTTATTGTTCTATTATCTGTTTTACATCATTTGAAATATGATACACTGAATTTCCATCATGCTTACTAAAGTCAAAGTTTAGTTTCACATGCTATATCACCAATCTGTTGTTCTTAACATGTCTTTTTCAGTACTAGAAAATATGTATTTCTTCTACAAATAAATAATTCCAGCTACCTAGACTTTTTTCTGACAAGTGTACATGTATTTTGAAAGTGTTGGAAATACTTATGGTATCACTATAGACTGTACTGGCGCTGGATAAATTTACTTGTCCTTCCTCATAGATAATGACTGAACTTTCTCTTCAGTAAATTCTAGAACAATATCTTTCTACATTATAATTTTTGAGTGACAGCTCACATGTAAACTCTGGAGTCATAGCACTTAAAAATGTATTATAAAAGCAAAAACATTAGAAACAGAAATGCATTCTCAGCATTTTCAAGGATTCCTGTGCTGACATGCACAGAGAAAGTGTGTCTTTTGTCTTGATGTGACCACACTGACGGCTCAAACCTGTACCACTTCACTAGCTAAAATCAACAAATTGAGATCTGTTCCATTTTGTTATTTTATTCCAGTTCTTAGGCTACAATTCTTCAGTTGATCATTTTATTATCAATACTTACCCAGGATAGGAGATACTGCTCAGAAAGTTTTAAAAATAAAAACCCAAAATACATCATAATTATTCTTTTATTAATTTAGAGCATTCAAAATATAAAAATAAAAGGCTTTGAACATACTGTATATACATACACAGCCTTCTGTTTTACATCCTTTCCAACGTGATTTTTTTCAATTATAGTTCAGCTTGATCTTTTGCTAAGAGGCCCATTAGAAAGCAGAAACATAGAATGTTTAAAAAAAAAAAGAAAAGAAAAAAATGTGTCTTTTTAACCTGTTCAAGCCCACTTTACATTATTTTGGTGCACCACTGATCTGATTCATATTTAGACTAAGGCTATTTTTCACCACCAAATTGGAAGCATAAAGGGGCCTTCGTGAAAATGATTATCAGGCTTCATTGACCTCTCTGGAAGATTTGGATGCTCTGAGAATGCCAAACTGAGCCCTTCATGTGCACACTGTAGCAAAATATCTGTGTAATACAGAGCTAAATTATGTCCTCATTTACACTGGTACAAAGCCAGAATAACTCCACTAATGTCAGTGTTTTCCCTCCAGATTTACACTTATGTACCCAAAAACCAAGTTGGACCCATACTTACCATTTAATAACTGAAACCCTTCCCATTCCTTTTTATTTTAAAGTGACTTAAAGCTGTAAAACTGCAAAGCTAATACGTTAAACCTTTCAGTTTATCCCATAAATAATCTCTAAGAAAAGTCCTTGGGCAAAGAAAATTATGCATGTTAATGTGGATTCAAAAATATATGTTAAAAAAACCTACATGAAACAATTATAAATAGCTCTGTAAAGACCAAGTTAATCTACCTCTGTTCATTCTGAATAACACTTTGCTTCATAAAGCCCCTTTGGCTTCCCTGATGGAGTAAGATATTAATCAACATGAGAAAGAGCTGGCCCTAAGCAAACACATATGCAAATGCTGTATATCCATACAAAGAATAATTACAAGGAATCTCCTCAACTCATATAAACTGTCCCTAGCTCCTAGGAAGAAAAGACCAGCAACAGTTTACACCACCTGAGCATCTGGCCACTTCAGTATAATTTAAAGGCATATTTGTGCCTCTTGGGAACCATAGGATAAGAGACTCATTCTACCTGGAACAGCATCTTACATTTTATGGATCAGAAAAGAAAGTAAGTCAGACATTCAGAATGGTCACTGGTAAAACAGGGTTTTAGGACTTAAAATCTATACTTTGGGAAAGTTTATTTTCCTCTTTCCCTCCTCCCCTTTGCTGTACTGCATTTCTGTTGATATGTTGCTGAATACAGATGAGCTTTTTCATTCAGGATTTATATTTTTCAAAAATAAGTTTAAAATTCAATATTATGTAGTGGTAGAGTAATGTAACTGTGATGGTCCAGGAATTATGTGAAAAGCAAGGAATTTAGGGTGATTTTTTTTTATTAGACCAACTGTATGGTTAGGATGCAGTTAGATGAGTTTGTGAACACAAAGCGTTCTTTATCAGATCACTTGTATTCAAAAGCTTATCTAACTTTATCCCAACCATTCAGCTAGTCCAATAAAACAGATCACACTAAAAGCCTTGCCTCTCTCTTTAAAATTTAAAAAACTCAAAAACTACAGCAGATTTTGGCAACAAAAGTATTTACTCTTTTTCCCTTAATTTTTTATTTCTGCTTTGAGTTTGTTACTACGGCATATGCTTAGAGTTAAGACGCCATCCTCTTTAATGTGGAATGAAAATGTGAAGTAACTCCATTTAAGTCTCTGGAGTATCATTCATGTACAGCTGAGACCAGCTTCAGGTCCTCTGATTACAGGCCCCACCTTAGCAAAGTTCTTATGCATGTGTTTTAACTTTTGTTGTATGCTGTGAGATTTAAGCATGGCTTTAAATTAAGTACATATCAATGTGTTTTGCTGAATAATGATGGATTTAAGCATATTTTTAAATAGCTGCTGAAGTCCTTTGCTGAACTGGGGCTTAAGCCAATGAAAAATTTGCTGAACTGCAGAATCTGGCCCAGGGTATTTTATTTTTTTTAGGTACAGGCTATACCTGTGGTCTGTGTATTAAAGGCCAGTTGATTCAACTGGCTTTTTGTGCAAAGACCAAAAGTAATGATGGTCCTTAAAACCCATCTGCATTCCACTGCACATAATATATGCATATCATGTATACATTATTATCTTTGTAGAGTTATGGAAATCTGCCACTGGCCTTTCCAGTTATAAATAAAAGCATGATGTTTGTATAGAAATGGCTGTATCTCATCTTTGCATTACCTTATTGTTTAATATGGGTAGGAAGGAATAAGAGATGAATTGAAGACTTTTAAAATTTCTGTCTAGTAATATAGTTTTAAATTATTGCACAATGATTATAAAAACACACAATATATTAATATTCTGTGAAGGATATTAAATATTATGCCAATTTTAAAATATTTCTCTTTCATGCTCATGTTTTACATGTCTTCAAACATGTAGTAGACTTTCTAGACTAATATTCTAAAATTATTGCCCAAGGAAAACAGATACGTTTTAAAGGTCCAGAATATTAGTTCTCTTGGGGGGGTAGTGGAAAGTAGGGAAAAAATTAAAGCAAACTAATTAGGACAGATATTTTTTTTTGCCAGGGAACACAGAAATACAGAAAGGGAATTTGTTAATATTAAATAATATGTATTTGTAGTACCACCACCAATAAAACTATGAGTGAAACATGCTTCTTATGTAAAACAATGTAAACTTTACCAAGAGCCATTCTGACATTCATTAAAGCAGAAACATTAAGACAAGTTTTTCTTTTAAGAATGACAATGTAAACCTGGGCCTGAAACTGCTGAACACAGGTAAGCCAACAATGATAATACAGCTGTGTTTCACAGTGGTTATGTTAACTTTAAATGATTTTTAGGTGTCTCTGCACACATTTCGCATTAAACTTAGGCTTCTCTCTATGGGTCTCAGGTTTATTCAGATATTTTCCACCCTTTTCTCTTTTGTACATTTAGTTATATCATGATTCTATGAGGATTGGTACAGGTTAGGAGAGTTACTTGTCTGGTTGTTTGCTTTGACTCCTGTGCTGAAGAAACAAAATGTCTTTTTTCAGATGTTGAAACCTGCACTGTATGCACAAAACATGATAAAAAAAACCTGCCTACGCCTCAGTCATCAGAGGCTGTAGCCAACACCAAGCAAAGACACAGAAAATAGCTAGAAAGTCACCTTTTAACATAAAAAAAGAAGTAGAAATGTACTGTGGGGTGGAAACACAAATGCTGTCCGAAGCCTATATTTACAAATGGATAAAAAATACAAACATGTTACTGTCTTTGTAACCATGATGAAATACAGGAAGAATCTGAGAGCCACATATTGCTTTGCTTCTATATTTGATTACCAAAAACTAAACAAATAAACAAAAAACTCTTAACAATAACAGTGGATCGTGTAACCTTGTTGATAAAGATTTTTTTCTCTAGAGACAGATCATTGACAAATACCTTCTGATTAGTCGCCTTTGCTGATTAGAGGCATAACATGTCTTTCTGTGTTGATTTTTCTTTATTGATTTTATATAAATCTCAACAACAATTGCACATTTAAAAAGTTTTTGTTGATCAAGAATAAATATGTGTGGTTTAACCGATGAATAGACAAGAGTTTCATGAGCCCTTTGAGAGATGTAAGATCGTCTTTACTTAAAACAGTGCAAGGGCAACAGCACACATCTATCCATTTCTTATGTTGTTTTTTATGCTTTCAGTCCCACAGATTTTGTGGGAGAAAAGTCTGAGGAGAAGGGGAGGGAGGGCAAGGATTTTAAATGTCACCAACACAAAAGATCAGTCTGGGAGTCAGGATTAAGGGACGGGGAGAAACAAGGTTGAGTTGCGGTTCTTCTAGAAGGAATCCTGTATCAGAGAGCAGAGGCTGTGACAGAGTGACTACCTTCTCTGGCTGTCTGCATGCCCTTGAATGCCAGTGATGCAGGAATATCACAGTTGTGAGGTGTCAGCGGAGTGCCCCCGGCATGTTGCCAGCCATGGCCTGACACGTAACCAGAAGGGGTAGCACTATATGTCATATAAGGTGACACCTGGGCTGGTGTAGGATAAGGAGCCATAGTTGGTGCTGAGACAAAACTGCTGACAGCTGGGAGGCCATTTGGTGCCTGAAAGGGAAGGGAAAAATATACAGATATATTTTTTCTGTTTCAGAGAAAAAGAATTAATAATATTTTTAAATGTTTACACCTTAATGGGAAGGGCAACGGACAAGAAGGAAGGAGACCCAGGCTCTGTACCTGGTTCTGCCACTGATGTCTCTGTCACATTGGACAGTTCACTGCATGTAATCTTAATTTAATTGATGCCAACATCAAAACTCCTGCTGAGGTCCGAGAGACCAGGAGCTCCCCTTCTGTGCCCCAGTTTTCCCACTGGTATTGTGGAGAGATAATAATACTTACCCAGCTTTGTACAGGATGTTTAGATATGTGCTTGAAAAGTACTGTACCTGCTCCTAGTATTCTTAGCCATGGTGTCTTTTTAAATTCACTTCCTAACTTTTTGGTATATGTTTTTGCAGATGAACTCCCATTGCCTTACTGGTTCATCTTTATACAGAATAATTATAGAGTTGAGTATTTACTGCCAGCATCTTATTGTTTTTCCCAAGTTTTTTGTAAGTGAATGGTAATGATTTTTGTTAAATAAATGAGTGTCATTCAGTCTTTTACAGGCATTTTTTAACCCATACACTGTTAACATCTCCTCATCTTCATATATGCCAAACAAGGTCATTTCTTCTTCCAATTTTAATTCATGGAGAACTGTTTAATGTTTCAGCATTATTTTTTTAAAAGGAAGGCATATTACTGCACAAGTAAAATAAAGTTGCTTTTAGTCCTGATTCAGCAAAACTCATAGCATGTGTTATAGTTCCATTCCGCTCAGTTTGAGCACAAACTTAAATAGTTTGGAGAATGAGGTCCATACTGTGTAATGGAGAGAAGTGACAAAGAGGGGGAAAAATTGTTTCTAATTAAATGTCACACCATGTTAAGATTTTTTGTATCTTGCCTGGTTTTCTCTGTCTGGATTTCTGCTTCCCCC